GGCGGCAATTTTCATTGGGGTGGTGATTCTCCTTTCTGACAACGGCATCCCCAACAAGCTCATAGAGCTCCCTGCTGCCCCCAGCAGCTCTCCTGCAGGTTCCCCGCTCCTGCACTCCGGGTCGATTCAGCTGTCCCCAGCAGAAGCAAGCCATCCCCTTGGTTGGATTTGAGGAGGACCCAGATGCCCCGGCCGTCACATCCTTCATGCCATAGTTGCTCCTCTCCCTCAGGAGATGCTCTTCAACCAGAACCACCCTCATTGCCACCACTGTGATTATGGGACATGGAATCCCTGGCACAGCAGTGCCTGGAGTGGGAGATCAGAGGCTAGGGAAGCTGCTATCAGATCAGATAAGTGGGCACACAGCACCTCTACGCAGCAGCTGCCATTGATGGTGGTGGTTGCAGCCCAGGAAGGGGGGGGCTGGGGTGCTGGTGGGGGGCACCCGATTTTAGAGAGATAAATACACCCCTATCTATAAGAGCAGGCCCACTCCATCCAGTAACCTCTGAGACTCCCTAAACCAGGTCTTACTCACAATGTCCTAGGAGATGTCTTCCACCCAACTTCCACATCTTCAGACCAGGACTCCAGAACAACGCCCTCTGGCAAAAATCCTTTAGCAATCCTCTAGTCACACGCTGGCTATCTTCTAGAGGCAGAACCCCCAGGAGAACTGGAATAGTCCCTTAAGAGGAGAGAACAGTCATGTATTTATCACCTTCCCCAGCCACCTCCTGGACACTCCTTTCCAGGGATTGGCTGAGATCTGCTAAATATTCATATTCAGAAGCCCCAGGAGAACTGGAATAGTCCCTTAAGAGGAGAGAACAGTCATGTATTTATCACCTTCCCCAGCCACCTCCTGGACACTCCTTTCCAGGGATTGGCTGAGGTCTGCTAAATATTCATAACTGAGTGACAGAGCTGGAGGGTCAATCTTCTGGAAGCTTCTTCCAGAAACAGGCAGGGGCAATCAGTCACCCAGCTTTGGAAACCCTGAAGAGAACAAAAAAAACAGATCTTTCGCTCCACTGACTACAATGAAAAAATAAATATGGCCTAACAGAGGAAGGGCACTACACCAGCATCATTCATCCCACTTCTTCATCTCTTTGTCACTCTGCTCTCTCCTCCTATCATCATGCTCCTTGTCAATGCAGGAACTGAATGGCTCCTGGTACTGCTTCTTTCTCTCACCCCAAAACAGAGGCTCCAAGAGGCTGATACCAATATCCAGTTACCTTGTTCCCACCATTTCTAACTGTTGTTTAAAACCATGGGGCCCCATATAGGCAACCTGAAAGCCCCCCCCCCCCCTAAAGAAAAAAAAGAAAAGAAAACAAAAAAACACACAGTTAACTAAGTTTTAGTTACGAATGAACACAGTGAGTGATTGGTACCGATCACTCAATGTGTTCATTCAGGAAAGTAAGGGGATGGTGAATGTGACATATTTACTGAACCCTTCCCCCACTCCTTATCCTGACAGATCCTATTGCTTGCAGCTGCCGGTGGGAAGGAGAGGAGGGAAGCCAGAAGCACTGTGGGGGTCACACAAGGGGGTCTGGGCAGCAGGGGAAAAGTATGGGGCACAGGGAAGGTGTTGGGTATTGGGGGAGGGGGATTACTAGAATCGAGGAACCTATCCCCTGTATCTCTGCAGCAGCTGGAAGCAAGCAGGAGGAAGAGGAAAAGAAGCCAGCTTTCAGCTGCTGCAGGGAGAGCCATACAGGGGATCGGTTCCAGTAATTGCCTCCCCCCCCTTCTGTGCTGATAACCCTCCTTGCCCACATCTGATTCACACCGGCTGCCTGGGGGCCCGTGCAGAAGGACCAGTGGTACCCCCTTATCCATGGCCCTGCCCACACGTCATTTCCTTGATGCCTGGGTGAGCTCCATTGTCAGGTCCCTTGTTAGAAATCATGGGGCCTGCTACAGCCTTCCTGATGGGGCCCCCAACCCCACCTACACCCTACCCACCCACCTTCCTGTGGTGAAGTGGAACAGCGGCACTGACCTTATCTGTCTACATCCCAAAAACTGAAAAAAGTCCCTTCTTTTGCTCCCATCTCCTGGGCCCCTGTAGGGACCTGATGGGGCCCAGAGAAATGAAACTTAAGCCATGGTAAGCAAGTAGGAGCGGGGGTGTGGTCTCATAAAATCCATTTATTCATTCAGGTAGAAATGAACAATAAAGCTGCCCTTGCCCCCCCCCCCCCCCCCTCCCCCATGTAGTTGCTGGGGCCTGGGCCCAATACAACAGGACCGGTTGTACTGCATTATCAGCGGCCCTGCCCATTGTTGTCTAGTGACATTCTGCGTCCATCAGCAAGGAAGGAACACCTCATTCATCTGGCCTGTGAGGGGTGCTGGCGAGCAGTCATCGGGGACAGGATGGCCAGTCTGCCATGGGCCTAAGAACAGAATCCTACCAATGGTAAGTCCCATCAGGAATCAGGTAATTCCGTAAGTCATTGGGCTGAGTGTCCATTACCTGGGGTGTGTGGGGATCCTGGAAGGAGGAGAAGTTGGAGAATTCATAAACACAGCCCACACCTAGAACCAGGAGGGAAATCCTTCATTTGTTTTGTTTTTCTGCTGCAAATTTCATAATGTGTATGTTGGTCGCTCTGTCTTTAAGAGGTTAATAAAGTAAAAGAGCAAATACTGAAGTTATCAATGATAAATATGATGATAAATAATGTAGTCAGTTGAATACAATCAAAAAATAGGTACAGGAACTCCTCCCTTCTGAGTCACTTTTTGTCTCCGCTCCCCTACCCACTTCCGAACACCTTCACTTGGTTCCACCCCCTACCCACCTCCGAACACCTTCACTTGGTTCCACCCCCTACCCACCTCCGAACACCTTCACTTGGTTCCACCCCCTACCCACCTCCGAACACCTTCACTTGGTTCCACCCCCTACTCACCTCTGAGCACCTTCACTTGGTTCCACCCCCTACCCACCTCCGAACACCTTCACTTGGTTCCTCCCCCTACCCACCTCCGAACACCTTCACTTGGTTCCACCCCCTACCCACCTCCGAACACCTTCACTTGGTTCCACCCCCTACCCACCTCCAAGCACCTTCACTTGGATCCACCCCCTACCCACCTCCGAGCACCTTCACTTGGTTCCACCCCTATCCACCTCCGAACGCCTTCGCTTGGTTCCACCCCCTACCCACCTCCGAACACCTTCACTTGGTTCCACCCCCCTACCCACCTCCGAGCACCTTCACTTGGTTCTACCCCCTATCCACCTCCGAGCACCTTCACTTGGTTCCACCCCCTACCCACCTCCGAACACCTTCACTTGGTTCCACCCTCTACCCACCTCCAAGCACCTTCACTTGGTTCCACCCCCTACCCACCTCCGAGCACCTTCACTTGGTTCCACCCCCTACCCACCTCCAAGCACCTTCACTTGGTTCCACCCCCTACCCACCTCCAAATTCCTTCACTTGGTTCCACCCCCTATCCACCTCCGAACACCTTCACTTGATTCCACCCCCTATCCACCTCCGAACACCTTCACTTGGTTCCACCCCCTACCCACCTCCGAACACCTTCACTTGGTTCCACCCCCTACCCACCTCCGAGCACCGTCACTTGGTTACACCCCCTACCCATTTCCGAGCACCTTCACTTGGTTCCACCCCCTACTCACCTCCGAACACCTTCACTTGGTTCCACCCCCTACTCACCTCCGAACACCTTCACTTGGTTCCACCCCCTACTCACCTCCTAGTACCTCTCCTTTTAGAGTATACAGAGCCAAGTATTATTCTGTGGTGCTAAATCATTTGTATGGAATTAATTAATAATAACAAGAAAAGAAGAAAAATAGATCCCTCCAGCAACAATGGACCCCCAAAACAAAATACCACCCTAGCAACAATAGACCCCCAGCAGCTACAACAGGTCTCCCAGCAGCCACCATCAATAGACTCTCCAGCAGCCAGCAACAATAGACAATAGACCAAATAAACGTGATTCCTGTGAGCTACTATTGTGTGAGCTTTGAGTGAAAAATTGAAAAATATAAAGTGAATGTATGTATAAAGAAACCAACTAAAGCTGGTGTACAGAGTATTAAATAAATAAATAAATGAGTGGGTCGCCTACACTATACACATACTCATGCCGGTGTGTCAAAACGAATAAAAACCAGGGAATTCCCCCTGATGAAGCCACGTGACCCGGTGGCGTAACACGTAGGGGAGGGGCTCTAACGTCACAACGCTTCAAGGCAACTACACAGCAAGTATATGGGAGTTTGGCAAACACTTTAAGGATCCTGCAGATTTGAACAAAGCGATTTTAATTTATATGCTATGCGAGGGCACTACATTTTGTCTAATATTTTTTTTATATAGGAATATAGGCACTATATTCTCTTTTTAACCACTTCATGTCCGGACACTTTCCCCCTTCCTGTCCAGGTCAATTTTCAGTTTTCAGCGCTATCACACTTTGAATGACAATTGCGCGGTCATGCAACACTATACCCATATGAATTGTTTAGCATTTTTTTGAGACAGATAATACTTTATTTTGGTGGTATTTATTCACTGCTGGGATTTTAATTTTTTTTGCTATATAAATGAAAATGTCCAAACATTTTGAAAAAAAGTGTTTTTTCATATAGAATTTTGCAAATAAATAATCTTTCTACATAAATCTTGTCCAAAATTTATTCCGTTATCTTTTTAGTAAAAAAAAAAAAATAACCCAAATTAGTTTACAACCAAAAATTATAATTTTTTAAAAAAAGATTTTTACATTTTTATTTTATTTTTTTTATATTATTATTTATGTTTTTGTTTTTTTTAACATACTGTCACCCTAGCAGTATAGTGACACTGTACTACTTGTGGGGGGCGATGAAGATTTTTTTTTTTACACTGATTGCTTTTACACCCATAAAGGCTGTAAAAGCAATAATTTCTCCTTCTCTCTGGCTGCATTCTTGCAGCCATTGAGAAATACTGTGTGAGCTGTGATTGGTCACAGCTTCTCACATGGTACAAGGCTGTTGTGAATGGCCCTGTACCATGTGATCTCTGTGATCATTCACAGATTTCACACGTAGTAAGCAACAATGTCAGAAGTGTCATCTTGCTTACTCTTATTCATGTGATCACTGATTGGCTAATCAGTGATCACATGATTGGGACCTCACACAGAGGTCCTGTACAGCGATCGGGAGCGAACACAATCCAAAATGGCGGGCGCCGTTTATGAACGGCAACCCACCTCTGGACTGCCACCGTCCAGCCGTTTATATACAGCGGCCGGATGGGAAGTGGTTAACTACATGGTATATATACACGTGGAGGAAAAAGTTTGAAGGGAGTGAAGAGACCCCCTAGTGAGAAGAGGGATAACTCCATCCATCCGCCTCCAGGAAAAAGGTCTCCAGGAAGCGGTGAGACCCCCTGCTGGGAAAAACTCCATTCATCCATCCATCCATCCAGGGATTGATCCATCTGTTCACCTCTGAGTCCAATTAAAGGGACACAAGCCTGTATGACCTCACTTAACAGTTTGGTCATATATGTCAGGTGAGAGCACAACTGGTGAAGGAGAACATTATTTAAAGCTGAGCTCCACCCAAAAGGGGAAGTTCCGCTTTAAGGACTGCTGCCCCGCTCCCCATTAAGGATTGGCACCTTTGGGGGGGGGGAGAGCGGGTACCCAAATTTGACAGGTACCCGCTCCCACTTCCGAGGCGATCGGAAATGGAAGGTGTGTCCTCCCTCCCTCCCTGTAGTCTTTTGGGACACATGTCAGGTCCCAGAAGACTCCAGGACCATTCAGGAAGCGCAGTGCTACTTGTGCATGCGCTGTGAAGCCACAAGCTGTCACAGCCGGGTGCCCACACTGAAGATGCTGGCCTCCAGGAATCCAGGACGGCCAGTGAAAGGGGCTGCGGGGGACACACCACGGGACCGAGGGACAGGTAAGTGGCTGTTTTTTTTAAAAGTCAGCAGCTACAGTTTTTGTAGCTGCTGACTTTTATTTTTTGACAGGGAGAGTGGAGCTCCGCTTTAAGATTGGTGGACTATATTTTACTTTGTATGACATCATTAGAAGACACTTCAATATCACGGATTATTCAAAGATATGCAATATATGGGTGTGTATGTATGTGTGTGTTTTATTATTATTATGTATGTTATAACATACATGTTATAATATATATATGTGTACAGTCTGTGTGTATATAAATTAGAAAACAGTAAATAATAAAACAATTTAGTATATATATATATAGCAAAATAAAAACCAACAAAATATATAAAAAAAAAAATATAATTATATAAAAAATGTAGAGGGGGTGGGGGCAAAGCTATATTTATATATGTTGTATAAAATCAAAGTGTAAATAAATAATCCCCCTTGTGTTGGAGGTGGACATCAAACCAACACCCCCAAAACACACATCCACGAACCATCAATATATATAAAATTAATAACTATAGATCACCTTCCCGCAACAATTGATACACCCCCCTTTCCCCCTATAAACAAATAAGATCCACCAGAAACCAACAACACCGACATTTAATAAACTGACTGGCCAGCAAAAAAAAGACCACACCACACCAAAATAGAGAGCCGCCCCCCTCAGTGACAAAAGATTGACCTGTTGTAACAGCCATAAAACAACAGATAAACGCCCAGCATCTACAGACCTCCCCGGAACCCCCTCGCCATTACAATACTTGACCTTTCTGTGCATGGTAGGTGCCGGAAACCCCCGGGCCCCGCCCCCCCATCTCCCGCAGCCAGAAAAAAACAGACCCTGAATACAATAACCTCTATTACACTCACCAGATACAATAACTGGGAACGTCCCCCACCCCAACAAACCTCACAGAGTATTCGGTGCTTGTTGAAGAAAAGCTGAACTGAAGGTGTGTAATACCCGAGTCGCTGGGGCTAGAGCAGATCCGGTGGCAACAACAGACTCCATTATAATTGCCTTCGTGTAGATTCCGGTGTCCTGATGGTGGTCCAGCGGATGCCTGGAAGGAGAATCTGGACTCGGAGAAGTTGGAAATGTCTCAGGTGGTCTTTGTGATTTAAAAGCAACAGCAGAATGTGACGAATTGTTGACCTTTTTCCAGATAATCTGAGCTATGTTGCCCACTGGTCACTGATGTATCACATCCTCCAGGCAGTTTAATGGATCTCTGTACCAGAGTATTCCACGCCATGGACGAGTGACACCAAACCTGAACAAAGGAAAGCTCACGTCAGTGTCAGCACCCAGAAGGGGTCTTCATATAAAAATACATTTAAGATAAATCACAAAAAAACCAATGGATGGATACCTGGAGCCAGGAACAGAATACAGTAACAGGACAGATCGACGGGACTCATAGCAGCGGCGATCGTTACACGGACCCGGTCATGTACAGTAAATGTATGACATGCGCATGGCAGTAATCTTCGGTGTCATCCAGTCGTACAGTATGAATATCTTTTCTCTGTAAATTCTACACCCAGATCACCAAAGATGTGATGTGGGGGGTTCTTCCTGCTCCGGGACCGACCACATCCTGTACATTCTAGTGAACATTTTGCATTTCATCTGACCATGGTGGAAATGTGTTATCAGTCTATTTAAAATACGGAAACCTTCTAAAAAAAAGTTTATTAAAAAAAAAAAAATCACACAATTCGTACTTGTGTGCGGTGAGGATTAGAGATGAGCGAAGTATTCAAAAATTCGATTTTGGCTGATTCGGCGAATTCGAGGGAATAAATTCGATTCGAGTCGAATAATATTCGCTGCGAATTTAACTTATAAAAAGGGTGTGTTTCTAGGCTTCAGAGAGCCTTTATATTAGTGCAGAACACTGTACCTTTAATTTAAATGCCCTTCGGAGTCTGCTGGGGGAAGAGAAATAATACTGTCAGTCAGTATGACATGCAGATGAGTGTTGCCGTCGATCTTAGAATCACCGCACACTTAACTCATTTGGGCAGTCACGGGGCCAGGGGCCCATGACAGATTACGGGCCTGGCAGCAGCATGAGGAGTCGGTACGGGGGCCCCATGGCAGATTACGGGCCTGGCAGCAGCAAATGGGAGGCCCGTAATCTGCCAGCACCCTATGACAAAATGGAACCCACCAGCAGTGTGAGGAGACCTGAAAAGTGGCACATGGCAGAGTGTGGCGATGGAGACAGCAGCAATGGGAGGCCGTACAGGGACCCATGACACACTCTGGACCTGGCAGCAGCATGAGGAGGTGGTACAGGGGCCCATGACAGATTACGGGCCTGGCAGCAGCATATGAGGAGGCGGTACGGGGGCCCATGGCAGATTTACGGGCCTGGCAGCAGCAATGGGAGGCCATAACAGCACCCTATGACAAAATGGAACCCACCAGCAGTGTGAGGAGACCTGAAAGTGGCACATGGCAGAGTGTGGCGATGGAGACAGCAGCAATGGGAGGCCGTACAGGGACCCATGACACACTCTGGACCTGGCAGCAGCATGAGGAGGCGGTACAGGGGCCCATGACAGATTACGGGCCTGGCAGCAGCATGAGGAGGCGGTACGGGGGCCCATGGCAGATTAGGGGCCTGGCAGCAGCAATGGGAGGCCGTACAGGGAACCCATGAACACACTCTGGGACCTGGCAGCAGCATGAGGAGGATGCGGTACAGGGGCCCATGGCAGATTACGGGCCTGGCAGCAGCATGAGGAGCCTGCGGTACAGGGGCCCATGGCAGATTACGGGCCTGGCAGCAGCAATGGAGGCCCGTAATCTGCCAGCACCCTATGACAAAATGGAACCCACCAGCAGTGTGAGGAGACCTGAAAGTGGCACAGCAGGCAGAGTGTGTGGCGATGGAGACAGCAGCAATGGGAGGCCGTACAGGGACCCATGACACACTGTGGACCTGGCAGCAGCATGAGGAGGCGGTACAGGGGCCCATGGCAGATTACGGGCCTGGCAGCAGCAATGGGAGGCCCGTAATCTGCCAGCACCCTATGACAAAAAATGGAACCCACCAGCAGTGTGAGGAGACCTGAAAGTGGCACATGGCAGAGTGTGGCGATGGAGACAGCAGCAATGGGAGGCCGTACAGGGACCCATGAGACACTCTGGACCTGGCAGCAGCAAAGAGAGGCGGTACAGGGGCCCATGCAGATTAGAGTGGCGAAGCGTAAGCAGGCTTAAATTGAAGGCCATACAGAGGCCTATGTGTTAAAAATAATAAACATGTTTGGGGCATGATTCATGGCGGATTTAGTCAGTTGTGTCAGGAACTGGTGGTTTGAAATCCAGACTAATCCAACCCTGATTCATTTTCACAAACGTGAGTCCTCTCCACACTTTGGGTGGACAGTACGTGTCCTCCGCGGAGTTTTACAATACCTCCCTCCTGCCGCACTAAACACGCGCTCCGATGCCATGCTACTGGCCGGGCATGACAGCCTTTCAAGGGCAAATTCAGCTAGTTGGGGCCAAAGGTCAAGTTTCGTTGCCCAGTAGTCAAGGGGATTGTCTACCTCGGTTGGCAGGGTGCTGTCCAAGTAGGGCCCAAGCCTGTTGTTTGAGGTCCTGCTCCAGGTCCACCTGATGCTGCTGCTGCTGCTGCGGCTGGTTAGTAGTTTTCCTCACTGCGCTGGTGAAGAAAGCTACTCATCCATCGACTGCAGACTGAGGCAGCCACTGCTGGTGGAGCTGCCACTGCTCCTACCACCCCACCCCCTCCCCTGCTGCCATGGCAGCGGAACGCGAGCGCACAGGGCCCACAGTGTCTGAGGATGGACGTTGGCGCAGAAAGGCAGAGACCAACTGACTACATAGGTGGTTTTTATAGTACGTTATTTTGGCCTCCCTCTCAGCAGGTGTGAAAAAGGCCACCATTTTTGAACGGTAGCGAGGGTCCAACAAGGTGGACAGCCAAAAGTCATCCCTCTGTCTGATGGTTATTATTTCGGGCTGTCGCTACGCAAGCAACCGAGCATGCTATGGGCCATTTGTGCCAAGGAATGCGAGGGACTCCCTGCCTCCATCTCCACAGCATACTGCCACGGTGCGTCTGGGTCCTCTGTCTCCTCCTCCTCCTCTACCAGATGCTCCTGCTCCTCCACATCCTGTCCGCTGAGTGGAAAAACCACCCATTTCACTCAATAATTCCTGAGCACCAATGTCCTCCTCTACCTCCTCCTCTTCTTCCTGTCCTGCCCCCACAGGGGTCATGTGGCGTTGAGATCTGTGCGCCACGTCTACCGCACCCTGACCAGCCATTGTTAACAGCATTTGTTCCAGGACGTGCACCAGAGGAATGACGTCGTTCATCCCATAGTCCTGCCGACTCACGAATAGCGTGGCCTCCTCAAAGGGCCTGAGCAAGCGGCAGGTGTCACGCATGAGCTGCCAATGGCTGACATCTAAGTTACACAGGGGAGTACCTTTATCCGCGAGTGTGTAACATCAGGAAATCGGTGATGGCCTTTCGCTGTTCGTAAAGGCGGTCTCTAACATATGTAGGGTTGAATTCCACCTTGTTGCAACGTCACAGCATGAGGTCGGTACGGGGCCCATGGCAGATTACGGGCCTGGCAGCAGCAATGGGAGGCCCGTAATCTGCCAGCACCCTATGACAAAATGGAACCCACCAGCAGTGTGAGGAGACCTGAAAGTGGCACATGGCAGAGTGTGGCGATGGAGAGCAGCAGCAATGGGAGGCCGTACAGGGACCCATGACAGATTTACGGGCCTGGCAGCAGCATGAGGAGGCGGTACAGGGCCCATGACAGATTACGGGCCTGGCAGAAGCAATGGGAGGCCCGTAATCTGCCAGCACCCTATGACAAAATGGAACCCACAGCAGTGTGAGGAGACCTGAAAGTGGCACATGGCAGAGTGTGGCGATGGAGACAGCAGCAATGGGAGGCCGTACAGGGACCCATGACAGATTTAACGGGCCTGGCAGCAGCATGAGGAGGCGGTACAGGGGCCCATGACAGATTACGGGCCTGGCAGCAGCAATGGGAGGCCCGTAATCTGCCAGCACCCTATGACAAAATGGAACCCACCAGCAGTGTGAGGAGACCTGAAAGTGGCACATGGCAGAGTATGGCGATGGAGACAGCAGCAATGGGAGGCCGTACAGGGACCCATGACACACTCTGGACCTGGCAGCAGCATGAGGAGGCGGTACAGGGGCCCATGGCAGATTACGGGCCTGGCAGCAGCAATGGGAGGCCCGTAATCTGCCAGCACCCTATGACAAAATGGAACCCACCAGCAGTGTGAGGAGACCTGAAAGTGGCACATGGCAGAGTGTGGCGATGGAGACAGCAGCAATGGGAGGCCGTACAGGGACCCATGACACACTCTGGACCTGGCAGCAGCATGAGGAGGCGGTACAGGGGCCCATGACAGATTACGGGCCTGGCAGCAGCAGCAATGGGAGGCCCGTAATCTGCCAGCACCCTATGACAAAATGGAACCCACCAGCAGTGTGAGGAGACCTGAAAGTGGCACATGGCAGAGTGTGGCGATGGAGACATGGGCCCCCTGGCCACGCTTGACTTTCTGGCCACATAGTCGACATACGGCTACGTTTACTTCCTCGGGCGGCTTGACGAAAAATTGCCACACCGCCGAGTAGGAAACTTTGCCCCCGATACTCCTCACTGGCTGACTGCTACTTCCTCCGTGCACACCGGCACCACTACTGGCCGTGGTGGTAGGCTGCAGTGGAGCTGGTGCTCTACTCCGTGGGCCGTTTGGCTCCACTGACACTGCTGCGACCCTGCTGCCTCCTGGGCAACCCACTGACTGTTTTGCTCGCTGCCAAGCTGGCACCCTCTTCTCCTGATGATGCGGAAGCAATAGCCTGATGACGACGAGGCTGCCAAGTGCGATCAGCCTCATCATCATCAATTAGGGTCTCCGCCTCACTACTAGCCCCCTCGGCTGCGTGTGGGTCAGGAGACAGACCTGTCTCTAGACCGGCTACCGAGCCACTCTCCTCGCCAGTACTTCTTCGCCTGGCTGCTGAAGAGGCGGATGTCTCCCCCCGTTCCTGACCCGCCCTCTGTTAGCTCTTCCTCACTGTACAGTGGGGCTGAGCCCACAGCATGCGATACTTCGCTTGGTGAGGGAACACCAAAGGATAGGGGCAGTAGAGGACACATGATTTCAGTGGGCTTGCTCCCGGGCCATGCCAACTAACGGTTGTGTCTGACGTACCCACCGACCGTTGGCTGTAGGTGTCAGAGGTGACCTGGGAAGAGGAAGACGACCGAGCCAACCAATCGATGACGGCAGGGTTGTCGGTGGAGACACGACCGCTGGATGACACCGGGAGCACTGGCCTCTGGCTGCGACTAGTGCTGCCTCGACCCCTTCCTCTGCTGTCCCTGCTCGTAACAATTCTGTGTCCCTGAGTAACAGTTCTGTGTCCCTGAGTAACAATTCTGTGTAACAATTCTGTGTCCCTGAGTAACGATTCTGTGTCCCTCAGTAACAATTCTGTGTCCCTGAGTAACAATTCTGTGTCTGTCCCTGAGTAACAATTCTGTGTCCCTGATGTAACAATTCTGTGTCCCTGAGTAACAATTCTGTGTCTGTCCCTGAGTAACAATTCTGTGTCTGTTCCTCTGAGTAACAATTCTGTGTCCCTGAGTAACAATTCTGTGTCTGTTCCTGAGTAACAATTCTGTGTCCCTGAGTAACAATTCTGTGTCTGTCCTGAGTAACAATTCTGTGTCCCTGAGTAACAATTCTGTGTCCCTCAGATAACAATTCTGTGTCCCTCAGTAACAATTCTGTGTCTGTCCCTGAGTAACAATTCTGTGTCCCTCAGTAACAATTCTGTGTCCCCCTCAGTAACAATTCTGTGTCTGTCCCTGAGTAACAATTCTGTGTCCCTGAGTAACAGTTCTGTGTCCCCTGAGTAACAATTCTGTGTCCCTGAGTAACAGTTCTGTGTCCATGAGTAACAATTCTGTGTCCCTGAGTAACAATTCTGTGTCCCTGAGTAACAATTCTGTGTCCCTCAGTAACAATTCTGTGTCCCTCAGTAACAATTCTGTGTCCCTCAGTAACAATTCTGTGTCTGTCCCTGAGTAACAATTCTGTGTCCCTCAGTAACAATTCTGTGTCCCCTCAGTAACAATTTCTGTGTCTGTCCCTGAGTAACAATTCTGTGTCCCTGAGTAACAGTTCTGTGTCCCTGAGTAACAGTTCTGTGTCCCTGAGTAACAATTCTGTGTCCCTGAGTAACAATTCTGTGTCCCTCAGTAACAATTCTGTGTCCCTCAGTAACAATTCTGTGTCTTGTCCCTGAGTAACAATTCTGTGTCCCTCAGTAACAATTCTGTGTCCCTCAGTAACAATTCTGTGTCTGTCCCTGAGTAACATTCTGTTGTCCCTGAGTAACATTCTGTCCCTGAGTAACAGTTCTGTGTCCCTGAGTAACAATTCTGTGTCCCCGAGTAACAAGTTCTGTGTCCCTGAGTAACAATTCTGTGTCCCTCAGTAACAATTCTGTGTCCCTCAGTAACAATTCTGTGTCTGTCCCTGAGTAACAATTCTGTGTCCCTGAGTAACAGTTCTGTGTCCCTGAGTAACAATTTCTGCGTCCCTGAGTAACAATTCTGTGTCCCCTAAGTAACGATTCTGTGGCCCTAAAGTCTCTTTGGCCCTAACTCTGTCCCTAATACAGAGAGGTCTGTCTCTCTTGAATGACCGGAGGCTAATGGAGAATTCTAAGATGGCCGCAATTTATAGCTCGACCATTACACAGTGCTGGCTGGCTGGCTGCTGATTGGCTTAATGCGATCACATGTCATGAATGAATGCATTATGGGTCGGCGCGCCTTGTCTGCGCGCCTTCCCAGAGATCCCCGCTCCGTCGCCACACATGTCGCCGCCATTTTTGGGAAAATTTCGATTCGCGCATCCGAAAGTTGGCTAATCTTCGCCAAAGTTGGCCAATATTCTAAACGAATTCCACTTCGCCATGTTCGATCCGCTCATCTCTAGTGAGGATCGCTGTTCCTGATTTCATAGCATTTTTATTTACTCAATTTATATTTCCTGCATTCTTGTTTTTTGTTACATTGGATAACGGTAAGTCTATTTTATTTATTTATTTCAGGGTACTTATATAGCGCCATCAATTTACACTGTGCTTTTACATATATATTGTACATTCACATCAGTCCCTAACACCTCAAGGGCGTACAATCAGGTCCCTAACCCTCAAGGGTGTACAATCTAAGGTCCCTAACCCTCAAGGGGCGTACAATCTAAGGTCCCTAACTCACATTCATACATACACATACTAGGGACAATTTAGACCGGAGCCAAGTATCCTACCAGCATGTCTTTGGAGTGTGGGAGGAAAGCGGGTAGTACCCGGTGGAATCCCACGCAGGCACAGGGGGGAACATGCAAAATCCAGGCAGGTGGTGCTGTGGTTGGGATTTCGAACCAGCGACCTGAGTACTGCCAGGCAGAAATGCAAACCACTTAGCCACTGTGCTGCCCATGTAGTCTAAAAGTTATGCGTTTGGAATGTACTTTTCTGCAATCAGGAAAACCAATAGGAGGTTACCCATCATCTGGTGGCATCAGGACCGGTGATAGACTCATTGCACCCTAGGAAAAATCAGTTACTTGCGCCCACCTGAAAAAAAAAAAATACAAATTTTTATAAACAGTAGAAAATATTAAATCAACAAAACCTGAAACTGTTAAAAAAAAAAATTTAATTCGCAAAAATAAGTGCCACCGGCACCAATATTAACCACTTCAATATCGGGCACTTGTACCCCTGTGATGGATTTGGTAAAATGCCTATTTTGTTTCCTATTGAAATAAATATATATACGCTATTTCTATAAGTTTTATTAAATATTTACTTTTATACTTTAATACATATGTTGTGTGAATATTTTCTGCCTGCTGGGCTTTGTGGTACTATAAGAAATCTTTGCTTAAGAAATGTCTGCTCACACACACTGCCCCCTCCCACTGTGGCCAACTTGAAACAAAGGAATGTTGTTTTCCTATAAGATACGGCCTGGAAGAAGATCACACCTATACCATGACGGAGATTGTTTTCGTGTGGAAATGATCAATCAAAGACTAATATAATGCTTATTGCTGTTGTCACATGACTCTTGCATCATTCTGCATATATAAGCTCACTTTCTCATTATAATAAACTAGAAGTATTCATAGACTGAACTTGTGTGTCAGCGTGAGTCTCTTCCAGTGTGCGCACATTCCAAAGCTAGTGTCATAAATTAGGACAGGAACAGATAAGGCACTGGACCGTTTTATTTCAGTCCTTGACTAAATCAGCTGATGCTGAAATCCGGGACTCCGGGTCATTAACCTGCAGCCAGCCGACCTGAAAGGGCGTTAGGTGTCAGTCAAACTGGACGGGACGGAGATTGATCACCTCTCGAGCATGGTAAAATATATTTTGCTATCTTACCATTGCTTATCCATGTCTTTGTTGTTGATTCATACCTGTGCCTAGTACGGCTGCTAAAGGTCACTAAAGGCAGGTAACTTTGCTTGCCCGGAGTTTTATTTCAACCTTACCTGCATGTGCTTATCTGTTACCTGGGTCTCTGTTGTGTCTTTTTATGTATCAGTCTTGAGGTGGAAGAGGAGTGGACCTACTGAGGGTTTTGACACATAATTTCTCTTGGGTGTGTGGTAACCTTGTGTTGTTGACCACAAGAAGAGGAGGTGTCGGGTACGCGTCACGGTAGTGTGGCAGCGGGTGCCCTAGCCATGTTTGGGGCTAGGAAGAGTTACTCAGTGATCTGTACTCATAGCCCCACCAAGATAGACTACTATGTTATGTCCTAAATGTGTCTGTGAGTTATTGTTTGCCGTTTATAACAAAGGTTGGGGTTTGTTAAGGGTTTAAGGAAAGTCTGGACAGCAGCCTGTGAAGTGTCTTAGATTTCTGTTAGGAAGGACCAAAGACAGGAGGAGATGGGTCAGGCGCTGATAAGATTGGAAGAAAGGAATGTTAGCACATACCTGGTTGCACAGAGAGAAGAGGAAAAAAAAAAAAAAGAAGAAAGGTGTCTTAGTTGACAAAAATGTGCTGAAGACAGCAAGAAGCTTGGTATAATGTAGCCAAAGTTATCCACAAAGAGCAGTGGACAGAACAGGTATTGCTACAGGAAAAAAGAAAAAAACTGTTTTATTTGTTGTACCATTAATGTGTTAAATATTGAAAAGGATTACTGGCATGTCATATTGTGAAGAGGTGTGAAGGAAGTGAAGCAGTTAAAAAGTTATCTAAAGTAGCGAAAGTTTGTAAGCTGAAGGTCAGCGTTGCCTGACTTCAGCCAGAGGACTGGCATAAAATCAATGTAG